CACACCACACACTCTCCTTTCCTTTTTGTTTTTTAAATTCTTAGCGCCTTATGCAAACATTCTCCCATTTCTCTTTTTCTAATTCCTTTTTATACATCCACTCTGGTCTTTTTCTTTAATCTTCACTTTAGTCCTTCTTTATCTCCAATTGCACTATACTCTCCGAACTTTTTTTTTTTTTTTTTTTTTTTTTTTTTCAAACTTTTTTTATATTTTTATTTTTTTGATTTTTCACAATGATTTGTAAACACAAAAATAATAGGTAAAAGGGTTAAAAATTATGAAATAGCCAAAATTGGTTAAATAGTGTTGAAAATGCATTGTTCAGGATTTTTGTATTTTTTTTCTTTCTTTGAAAATATTTTTAAAAAATAAAGGGTCAAAATGAGGGTATGATAGTAATCATGTCAAATTTTATAAAGAACATAAAGATATTATAGGAGTGTTATAGATAGATTAATTGTTGGGTCTAAGACCTCTAACATGTCTTTCTTTATGGTTGAAACATAAAGAAGCTATAACATCTTACTTGCGTGAGATTGGATACATTTTAACATGTACATCCAATTATCGTTACATCAAACTTTGATATTTGGTTATTACATGGTAAACTAAAAAAGTTAAAAGCATATGAAGAGTTATTTGTAATTAACTTAAGGATGGTAGATGCATGGCTATATCACTATGATGTTGGCCTAGTCCAATTTATGAGCATAAATAATATGGGTTGCCTAATCATCTTTTTAGTAAATAAGAAATTAGTATGAATGGGGTGAATAACAACAATTTATTTCCAAGTCAAGTGACTTGTATCTAGAAGGTAATGGTTAGGAATTCTAAACACATGAACAAATAGGTCACTATGACTTATTTGCATGTTTAAGGCTTTTAATGAAGCTTATAAATGTATTGAGTACAAGATGCAGTGCATTTTTTTAATATTAGACTCACGCAAACCATTACTATTTGAATAAAGATGAGTATTCACTAGGGAAAATGTAATGCAATTCACTCAAGAGTAGTATAGATTTAAAATAATTTATTTGACTTCTTATTATACCCAAAACAATAAGCAGAATTAACCAAAAAAACTTTAATATTCAATATTCAAAAATTAGTTAGAAACAATTCTAAAGCTCAACATGATTCAATGATACGAGCATAGAAGACTTTATAAGAATCTTACCATTCATTGTATTGAATGGTAACTTACTTAGAAAGGCTGCAAAATGTGACATGAATAATAGATATTATCAATCTATTACGCTAGTTAAGTTAGAAAAATTGTATAAAAAATTATTAAAAATAAAAGAACAATATATATAAAGGTTAGTAAGTTAAAGAGTTGTTATAGCTTCCTTTAACAATAAATCAATTTTTAAGTTTAAGTGCTGTATATGAAGGATTTGAATTCAAATTCTCTTTATAAATGTAAAACAGTATCATGGTTATTAAACCCAACTCAGAGTTAGTGTTTTTCTCAAATTCAAATTAGTGTTATATCAACCCTCTCAATTTATGATATAAACCTTAAATCGATCACCCTTCAATTTAGATTTTTAAATTATGATAATAACAATTTTTATCCTTATATTGACCGAGTTCAACCAGGGTTGATCATCTTAATCTGTAACTCAAACCTTGACCTGGATTGACTTTCAAATCAAGTTTGAAAACTATTATAATAATCACTTTTATTTTATATTAACCTAGGTAAACCCAAATTGACCCTCCAAACATATAACTCCAACCTTACTTAGCATCAACCCCATTTAGATTTTAAAACTATAATATTAATCAATTTTATCCTTATATTGACCCAGATCAATAATCAACCTCACTTACAACCCAAGCCTTTCTTTAAGTTTACTCTCAAATCAAGTTTTAAAATTACAAAAATAATCACTTTTATTTTTATGCTCACTCAGGCTAACTCATGTCAACACAAATTGTGACCCAAGCCTTAATTAGTGACATAAACTTTACCCTAAATCAACCCTCAAATTAAGTTTTAAAATTATTATATTGATAAATATTAACTCATGTCAACACGACTCATGACTGTGTATCTCTTGTTTTAAAAATATAAAAATCCACTCTCAAATTATATCTTTGCCTTAATTAATGAAATAAACTTTGTTCTAAATCAATTCTTGAATTAAATTTTAAAACTACCATACTAATAAATATTAACCCATATCAACCCAGCTTGTGACCGCATACCTCTTGTTTTAAAAATACAAAAATCCACTCTAAAATTATTTATCTGCTTATCTCCAACCACAAACATTTATATCTTCAATGTCTCCATGTATTCTACCCCAAAACAGTAACAAAACGCTACATTGCTTTTTGTGATGCCCAACGTCTGTCAACGTAAACAGACTTCATGGCAGTGCGGTCCCTAATAAGTCGCTTCAAAAAATAATCAGGATCGCTATCTGAATATTACATGGACGCCACTACAGCCATGAACCGCAAAGCATATTACATTTACCAAAATCTACAATCAGCACAAGACCAACCCAGTATCAATGCCATGAGTGACGTGATCATATAGGAACAATTACACCAAGCCCTATTTTATCATTATTATGCACTTGTCCTCGTTCTTGCATACAAGGATACAAGAAGGATTTCCGGAACAAATTAATCAGGGTTTAAAGTCAAAACTGTGTAGAGAATAGAGACAAAAAAAAAAAAACATGAGCAGGAAATATACGCTTCCGGTGCATTTTCTTGTATTCCCTTATGCCACAAAAAAAACGAAAAACATGAGGAATACAATAAGTACAAGAAATATTTTCATCATCAGCCATCGGTTGGATGAAATACTGTTAAGATACCTGACCAGTTGGCCCTGCGCGCCCTCTACATTTGACAGTGACTCATCCATGTTCTCGTCAATCCTGTGTCAGCAATGCCCTTAGATAAGTTGTAAATGATTGCTAAATAAACAGTAATAGAGCAATTTCTTTTGCTTTTGCTTTCAGTAAGGATTTTTATTATGTTTTACATTTGTTCCTTTATAGTGGTGAATTTTTACTTCTCTCAAACTGCCAATCCCCAATCATAAGATGCATTGGCAGATAGCAGCAGCCAACATACCAGTCATCTTTAAGAAAGTCGCAGCCGTGTCTAGGACTTGGAGACACAGAAACTGTTCCCAGTACGAGGAGCTGAAGAGTTCAACTGTCCAGATGATCCTCATGCATCTATTTATGCACAAATACTGAAATACTTGTGCTTAATCAAAGCATCATTTGTAGCAATGGAAACCATAACAAAGAACAAACCTGATTGCCAGCTCTCCTTGCTGAGAAACCATTGTTGCTAGTTGAGTAAAGATGTTGCTCAGCTCATGGATTGTTGACTCCACGTTATGAAGGGCTTCAGCTCTGCTATGCATGTAACTGTCTTGTAGTGGAACCATTTGCTGTTGCTGCTGTTGCAAAAGCGGCTGGGACTCAACATCTGTTGATTTGCTGCAAAAGAGAAGGGACAATTTCAGTGGGAAAATAAAGACTCTCTTGTCTATAGACCCACAAAATCTCACATATCAGAATATCAATCAACCCATCATCACCCAAAAAATATTCCACATCAAGAATAGAAGGAAATTTCATGAATTGGTACATAAGAAAGAAGAAAAAAAAGTAAAGAAAATACGAGGCCATTCCAACTACAACTTCCTAATAGCACAACAAATGCTGTAACTTGTACCTGGGAACTAGCTGGGATGAGGATACAGAAGCATTGGCCCATGGAGGGGGAGGAGCCTGTGTTGCACTAGCAGCTGTCCTGGAAGTGAGTGGACGCTGACGAACAAAGGGATTTGAAGAGTCTTTTGAAGCTGTGGAAGAAAACAACTGCCTTCGGTTCTCATGAACCTTTAGATTCTGTACATTTACATAAAATTCAAGACATCAACAATACATTACAATACCAAAAATCCTGATTATGGAATCTTGAGCTGCTTCATGTGTTAGATAGCAACTTTCAATTTACCTCTGTCCGCGTTGTGAGGACTTCTTTAAACTCCTTTGTAGCAGTCATCAAGCGATTCTTTAGGTTATCTACAACTGTGGTTGAATGAGTTGTAGTATCACTTGAGATGTTTCCAATTTCATTCTGGGAGTTGCAAAGGAGTTGGAGGTCTACTACGGCTGCATTAAGTGCAGTAATATCTTGTTTTATAACTGCTGTCAACTCTTGGATCTCCAGAGTTGGATCATCAAACACCGATGTTCTTTTCGCCACTGATCAAAATGCAAGAAATATTAATGCTAAACATTTTTTTGGCTTCATTAGATTATTACAAGTCAATTCCAACCTCAAAATGGCTATATTGTTTTCAAACTCAGTCTGTAAACATTGAATGTAAAGTAATTCATTGTTTTAGATCCAAGCAATGTAATGACTGATTGCTAAAATAGAGGGTGAAAAACACAGAAAAGGTAAGAGAGATCTAGCACAACAAAAACTCATCATATAATCACAAATTTCCATAAAACTGACATAATAAAGGGCTGCATTTGTAAAATTCCTGGTGTAAAAAGATATCAAACAATGAACGGAAAAATGAAAAGACTTACAAATCAACATCCATTTCAATGGTTTCAATTCCTAAAATTTTGTTGCAGCCACCATCAAGGTGATGAGGTCTGATTATCATATTCAATTGGTAGTTTTAGATACCTTCTGACAATTTTCCACATGCAACACTCTATATTTCCAGAAGGTGTACTGCTCCCCCATGAGAGCTGAGACTCCATGGCTCTTCCAGTTAGAATAATGATTTGTCTAATTCAAAAATTCAGAACAACTTAACTTCTCTTATTTATGGAAATTCACAAAGTTATATAAGAAACAGAGGAACTACCAATAAGATGTGAAACTCTAATAGTTGCAACCATACCCATGTACCAATTATTTCCAGGTTCTGTTCTTGCTGAGAAGAGAATTCATCAAAAAGGATTGAGGAAATAAGTAAAACAAAATTACGAAGTAAATACAACAGAGAAATTCAATATCATTGACAATCCACCAGACACTTCTGGAAAAGCCCTCAAGAAAGAGCACCATAAGGATGGCAAGAAAACTGTGTTCTCACAATAGATGCTTCCAGAGATTAGTTCTTGCATATTCTCAAATTCAATTCTATCCACATACTCCCAAAATCTCCAAAAAAACTCAATTTCCAAGCACTAGTAATCATTGATACAAAGTCACCTCCATAAATTTCAATGGAACAAAAACAAAAGAAAAGACTAATAAAGGATGGGGATCAAGATGACAATACTTACATAATGAGCCTAAATTAGATAAGATTGAAACTCATGTAAGTAAAATATGAGGAATATGATAATTCTCACTAAGAATCAGTATAACAAAGTTGCCTTCTCATTATATTCACCTTCGTCAACTTCTTCCCACTCTTATGAACTGAAAACCTTCAAAATATGCCAGGTTAAGTAATTTGAACCTTAAAATTATGTAAATGTTCTACTAGAAAGCATAAACCATGCATCAAACTAACACCTGAAGAAAGTGGAAAGAGCAACTGATCAGCAGATGCACTTTGGTTTGGTCTAAGTTGCCACAATATCCTTGTACCACTCCTATATTTTTATTTAGAAGATTCTTTCCAGAATGCGGAACATTTTCAATAAAGTACATTAAATTTATTGATTACACTTTCCAAATTAACAAACAATAATCTTAGTCTAAGACTATGAATAATAAAGGAAAAATAGTTGTAACGATATTTTAATTATAAATCACATTTGGCAAAACACATTTCTTCTCGTCATACAAACATTTTTTCTTTTGTAAAGGACCAAGAACTGAAAAATAACAAAGAAGATAGCATTCAAAGATAGATAGAAAGAATGAAAAAACAACCACCATGCGAGAAACAGTTACCAATTTTTCTGAACATGTGCTAACTCCCTTCCAAAAAGAAATGATGATAATAATAATAATAGCAGCGACAAAAACTTATCCTTACGAAATCTCTATGGATAAACACAAGATATTTGGATCCTCACACTTCGAAGAACAAAGCTCCAGCCCTCGTACTTGCTCTAGGAATGAATAGAATTATTGTTTTACACCAACGATGAAGTGAATTTTACTAATCTTGTGTTTTAAGAACGTACCAAATTCTTTATTCAATCATTACCATTACATCACCATTACCATTGCCACAACACGATATTACTCACATCAATTATCAATCATCAAAATCATATAAGTTGAGGACAAAGAGAGAAGGAAGCAGCTCACGTTTTGCCAGCTTCGCCAGCTTCTGAGATGTCTGGTGGATCCCATACCCGATCACGGATGCTCTTTTATTAAATTCGGATTGAATCACCACAGAAGATCGCGTAGCATCCGGCTTCGTGCTGCTACAGGTACTGGATGATGCCGCATTGCTCGCCGATGAGAACGATTTCTTTAGCCTCTCTGCTACACTCAGAAACTCTTGTGTCCGGTCCCGATAGGATGTTTTTACCGGCGGCATCATCTAATTTTTACAAAAGAAAAATAATAATTCTAGTTTATTATAATCTCGAAACCCTAAATTGAGGATTGATTGGGTTGTCTGTGAAACGGCAAGAGATGCTGCGTTGGGGAAGACAAAGCAGGACAAATTGTAAATAGGGGTAGAATTGAGGAAGATTATAAAACGTAAAAGGAAAGGGTGACTGACGGTTTGCTCAAAGCGAGAGGAGATCTAGATCTACCTCATCAAATTCTTTTCTTTCTTTCTTTCTTTCTTTCTGCTGTCCAGTTTGGGTGCCACTGCAAAATTAAAACGCACAGTTTTAAGCTCCGACCGGTTTTACGACATCGTTCAGAGGTATAGCGTTAGCTAAAATCTTGATAACTCAAAGAAATGGTTAAAAAGGGGGACATGCTGCGTCCAATTTTGAACACTTGCTTTGATAACCATTATTCTATTTTTTTTCTCTCAAAAAAATAATAATTAAAATTTTTTATATATATATATATATATATATCAAAAAAGTATTTATATTTTTTTGATATTTTTTATACCAAAATAAAATTTAAGTTACTGGGGTCAACTAATGCAATATTAGCGCAGGATCGAAAGCCTATTAGGTTAAAATTTACAGGGTAAGACTTCTCATTTAAATAGAATTGCAGACACATGTACAAAGGTTGAAAACTGATGGCGATAATAGTACAACTGCTGCTGCAAAAATTTCCAGCGTACTCCTTCGTTTGATTTATATTTTGATAATACTAACTTTCCAAAAATAATTTGTGCTTTTTTCCGCAACAATCGCTGGCAACAACAACACGATCAATTGCCTGCATCAAAGCACGGTCATCAAGTCCAGTGATGGACTGGTGTGTATTCATGTAATTGGTTCAAGTAAATTTAATAAACTTTATTAATTTAATAATATCATTAGAAAATAAAATTTCAACAATGATGGGTTATGTTCATAGTTTTAAAACTCGACCGAGTCTGGTAGGTTGACTGATTAGTATTTAAAAGTGTATTTTTATTATGGTTTTATATCATCATTTTGCACTTGAAGTATCAATAACTCCTTAGCTAAATCATGTTTTATAATAATATATCTAATAATATAAGATACCTTTAATTTATGATAAATATTCATTTTAAATGTAGACGTATCACATAAATGAAAGGATTGATTGATGACTTTAAGAACTTAAATTGCAAGGGCAAAGAGATGACCAAAATTAGAAAAGAGATGT